AATAGTACTTTAAACTTCGACCAACACTTAATAATCTTAGTTAACAGTCCTATATGGATAATATACATGCACATCTTCTTCGAAGGTCAGCATCATGATAAAATCAATACTAGACCCAGCCTATTTTGTTTTACATTCAATATTCAGATTCTGTTGTAACTTTATGGCTACTGTAGTCTGTAGTTTAAATTAGGGGTCCTCCCATCATTGCACACCAGATCTCTTTGAACTACATTAAGAGTTTACTACTTTAGTCATACAAAAGTTTATATTGAAGTCTCACTTATTTAAATTATAGTTTCTAGAATTTATGCTACAACATGCTTTCTGCTTCAAAACAAAATTGCTCAATCAGAAATCTAAAAATTATATTACAATAATAAATTATAAAAATGTCCAACAAAGGAGAGGGAAGGTTATTCTCAAAACTCTCTGATCAATGAGATAAAATTAGTGTAAGTAGTCCATGTTCAAACTAGTGCAAATTAAATTAATCCTTCAGAGTTAACAAAGTGATGCAGGTCATCTTACACATTCCAGAGAATTTCAGAGTTGCATAATAGTTAAGTTCAAAAACAACTAAAAAACTACATGACCAAACTCAATCACTTACCTGAGCACCTCTGATGGGTTCCGTACTAAATATTTTTGCAGATACATCATGATGTAAGACCATGACATGAATATCTGTATAAAAATAAACATTTTAAAAATTCACACTGAACTAAAGAAACTACCAAAAAAGAAAGAAAAAGCAAGATAACTCGATAACAATATTTTCTAAAATCAAAAAATATACCTGCTCAATGATATCTGGCTCCCTTTCACCGCCATTCTCAAGAAGTGATACTAAAGATTCAACAATTCTTGGCAATAGCCTAGCAAATTCCATACCCATAATCAATAAAAAACCATGAGAGAATTATCATTAAAATATAATTGTAAAAGTGCTATGCAAAATTTGGCAATTGATACAGAAAACCCTATAGAGTCAAAATGTTAAGCAACTTACGGAACAAATTCCTCAAGGAGATCCCTGGATAGAGCAGCAATTAAACTGTAAAAACAAAAAGATTGAAATTCATTGACTGCAGCTGTCAAACAATACAACACCAGAAAAAAGAACTGAAAAAAGAAACAACCAGCCATTTATTAACCAAGTTCAAGGCTACCTGGATGTTATCAGTCAGCTGTACGAATAAGTGTTAAGAAAATCAACTAAAACTAGCCAATTGAACCAATTTGAACAGGAATCACAGATATAATAGTTTTGAGTTGGTTATTAGATTTGAGATGTTATAGACAAACCATTGATATAAATTTTTCAAGTTGGTTGTAGGATAAGAGATGTTATACAACTAGTGTGAACTGACTGGCTAGACGTGTCAGGGTAGAAAAAATTTTAAGTTAGCCAATATGTTGTGAATTTTCCCAGATTTTTAAGCTATGGGATTAGTATGAAATTTTATTTTATAATTTTAGAAGTATGAAATTTAAAAGTTAGGAAATTTTAATATATATTGGTTCATATATTTTGCCCAATGATACATTAACCCATTGCTCTGACCAATCTATAACACTGGTGTTTAAATCAGAATACATAAAAAATAATATTATTTAATATTACTCCAGTATATTGTAATTAGAACAGAAAAATTATAACTAGATTCTATTACTAAGAAAATCAACAATATGCACTACCAAATTTAACCACTCAAAAAGAATACCAAATAAACCAATAAATGGTGTTCAAACTAATAACAGGTTAATTCAGATTAAAGTTCACTGACTTCGACATTTTCCAAAACAGTGATACGATTCATTCATATTTGAAAAATGAAGTAATCCTTAAAAAAGACTGCATTCACATACCTGAGAATTGCATCAACGGATAGCCTTGCTTTAATGTGCAACCTAGAAAGAAGCTTTAAAATTAAAGATTCCTTATGCAACAGCACAAGGGGCAATGTTTGTGTATAAGGCATAATTTCTTCATAAAATGAGATAAAATCCTCAGCCGTGTTCAACTCCTGTATTTTGACAAATTAAAGTAAATGATATATGTGAAGATTGAGCTAAGGGACTAGACAATCAAGTTAAAAACAAAAATCAACAAATTTTTCTCTTCATATTATTTTTATTCTACAAGAATCAATTCAGGCTAGCATGCAACTACTTATCATCTGTCATTGCCTAAAATCATTGGCTGCTCATAACAGCAGAATAAAGTTCAGCAAAATCCAAATAAACAAAAGAAATGTTTGATGAGGAAAGAAAATCACATAGAATTCCATATCAAAACATACCCTCCATTCTATAAGGCAGTCTCTAAAAAACGAAGAACCCTCAGATGGTTCGGCTTTGACCTTCTCGAGACTTCGATATACATTGATATCAATCTCATTTACTCTCTCCGAGAATGACTTGAACTGTAACATTCAGGACCATTGAGACACAAAGTTATATGAATATGAAAACAAAGTAAATTCTAACAACGGCGAGGTTTAGGGTTTTAGCAAAATAATAAACAGACACATAAACCAACATAGAACGAGAGATGAAGCTTACGACAAAACGGCCTCGACCGGATGACTTGTTGAGAGACTTCACAGCTCGAGCATGTGAAGCCGTCGCCATGAGAGTTACACTTTACAGTTGCAGATATGCAGAGGAAGGGAGAGTAGGGTTTTTCCCTTCTTTTCTCTTATGAAAGAAACAATTGATGGAGGGAACCAAACATTTTTTTGTTTTAGTTTATTTCTACTTGCTGTTATACTAACTTACTTTTTAAAAACTTTATTTTATTTTCTTATATTATTTATAACTATATGTAAAGATTATTTTTGGTAATAGTTTTTTATGCAAAGATTTCATCATCAATTTTATTTTTATTAGTTTAATTTTTTATCAACTTTTTTATAATTTTTTATAAATTTAATAACATTTTTACTTTAACAATAATTTCTTTTTTATTTTTTTAGAAACATAAGCCATATGTTTTCACTACTTTCTTATTGTTTAAGTATCTCTTTTAATTAAATATGTATTCAAGTGATTAAACAATAATTTGGTTAGGAAAAACAAATAAAAATAAATAACTTCTTTTTTAAATCATTTTAGTGAAATCAGTAATTGGAAATCAAAAAGTAATATTTTTTAAAATATAATTTTATTTAACTAAATATATAGTATTTCCTATATTACTCCCACGATTATGTATTTATTTTAGAATTTTTTTTAACTGAAATATTAAAACTGTTTTCTAATATGTTTATTCTTTTCTTTTAAATAATAACAACAATTAAAACTAACTAAAAAGGCAGAGTTAAAAAATATTCCTGAGAATTTAGTTTTATTACTGCACTGTGATAATTATTTTTTGTTGACATTTTATATTACTACCATATGATATGAGAAATTATAACAAAAGTGTATGAAAGAATAAAATTATTTATTTATTATATCTCACTTATATTAAATATTTATTCATTTTTATTTAAGAAAAAAAAAATAGTCAGTAGAATTTCTCTTTTAAATGTATTTGAATTAAACCAATTTGCACATAATTAAATTGCACAAGAATTTGCACATAATTAAACCAATTTGCACAAAAAAAAAACTGATTTTTTTAGCTTAGGTTACCTTTTAAAAATTATAACCAGATTGTTTTAAAATAAACATAGCAAATAATTTTTAAACTTGAAAAATATGTTTTAAAATAAGATATTTTATTATTAGTCGAAATAGTCTATGGGATATGGCTAAAATTGGTTAATCACAAGCCTAAATAGAACAAGAATAAAAGAAATTGAACAGTAATTAAGTTGTGCATGACAAAAAGTCGATGGAAAGTTACAAGTACACTCAAGTGTATGGTTTTTTATACATTTAATATGTGTTTATTACAACATTACTGACATTAAATCTTGAACTAATTATAACATGGTAATATTTTTGGCAAGTACCTACTGATTAGTTGATATACATATTATCAGAACAAATTTTGGCACCTTGAGAGAGAGTTCTGAGATTCGAGTGTGATGCGTGCTAGTGGAGGTCAACACCTTATACAACATGTTGGGTCGACCTTGATTCAAAACTACATAAATACATGCATGTATATATATATATATATACATGTTAATAAATTATCCGTATGGTAGTTCAGTAATGGATAAACAACACACCTAATAAGAGGTGACATAATAGATCGAACAAACAAAAAATCTCATTATAATGAATCTTAACTCATAACTCTAATATAATGTTAAAAAGTGTATTTTAAACCTAACTCAACATTACAAAATTAATTTATAAGATTATGTTTAGACTACTTATATATTATAAAATTATCATCTCTTCAATAATATAACTCATTTTTTTCTCATGATATTTTGAGTGTCAAATTAATCAATAAATGTATAATGTTTATAGTAAATTAAGGATACTATGGTGAAATATTTGATTTATCAAATCGTAAAAGAATTAGAACTGGATATATGGATATAAATGCAAAGATTATGGATGGATAAATTGGTTCTTACGAATCTACATCCCTCTTGAAAATATCAATGATAAATAGTTTAAAAGTTTAATTTTTTTTTAAAAAAATATTATTGTACAAAAATTGGTTCACAGGTTACGAATTTTATTTTTCAGTTCTTATAATTATACAAAACTCATATTCAAAAAACTGTGTAAGAATTGTTTGCATCTAAGACTTAAGAAATTTGACCCCTCTAAGTTGATGTGAAGGAATTCAATTTCCTAAATTTGCTGTGATTTATTCCTTATTTAACTACTGCGATTTATTTGTTTCTTATAAAAAAAATATAATTTGTTTGTTTCTTTTATTTATCTTAATTTCATTCTTTTCTAACCAGGTTCTTCACCGTAGATGAAAAATAATTTCCAATAAATTTCTTTACAAGAGACAATGTTTTAAGGTGCATTTAAGTTACTTTTATTTTAAAAAATTAAAAGCCGAACCCTACACTCCCAAAACCCTTTCCAATTTTCCCCCATTGCATTCCCTCTCTTGCGACTCTGTTTCTCTTCTTCTCTCATTGCTCATTGTCTTCCATCCTATGTTGTTAGGTTGGTGTTTTCTTTCTCTCTTTTCTTATGTGTTTTTCCATTGATAATAAAAGGACAGTCTCATTCTGACAAAATCATAACCAGCGTTGAAAATGCGATGGATCCTTAACCGGTGTTCGAAGTGGTTAAGGTTTGTCGGCGTTCGACTGCGGCTAAAAGTCCTCGACGAATTTCGGGTAGACATACTTTGAATTGCGGTTCGAATTTTGATTAACTGTACAGTTCGAACGATGTTTCACTGTTGTAATCTGAAATATATTCTTAAACTTTGCTAGCTGCGATGAATAATCGATTCTATCGCCACTCAACCACCGAACCACTTGCACGAGAACACACCAAAACACCAAGAGATCACAATTCTCGCAACACCAAACCACGGAAAAAAAAAGAAGGAACAGAGTGAACGCGGTGGGGTGCGGCCAGAATCATTTAATGCAAAGGGTATGAGAAATTTGGAGGTGCAGCCAAAACTCAGGGAGAATTAGTCTTCATATGTGAATTTGTTTCAAAATATGTCTATAGATCATAGTTTATTGTGTATTGTGTATCAAGTATTGTGTGAAATTTAGTTTTTGTTGTTATTTTTGTTTTATATATTTATTATAATTTTTTTAATAGACTTATACTAAACAATTAAAATTTATAAAATTATTAATTTTATTTATTTTAAAAAAGATATATTTATAAAAATTATTATTTTTATTAATTTAATTAAATAAAAATAAATTTATTAAAATAAAGATATTTTTATGTATTATAACTGAGGTAGAATTCTACATAACAGATATTTTTTATGCAAAAATATCATGCAATAAATTATCTCGTATTTTATATATGGAACTGTTTGATGTGTGATGGGTGCTTTAAGATATCGGTTGATAATTGAAAAAAGTAATTTTATTGTTTATTTAATTGAATATTTTCTTTAAAATAGTCAGAATGTCTCATGATATTAATCAAGCATTATTTATCATTGTTGTATACAGTAATTCTATTTCAATTTTTTGTCTTCTGCAGAATTGAATACTAGTGGTAAATACAAGTGAACAAAATATATAATAAAAAAAGCTCAATGGACTGTAATATTTTAATAATGCATTTTAAACAAGGGTATTTTTCTGGGTTTTCAATAGAAGAATTTTTAGTTAGAACATTGACATTACACCTCTAACCTTTATAATACACACCTCTTATTTTTTATGAAATTATTTTTGGGACCTATAAAACTTGAAAAATCAATTTCTGGTATAGAGTCAACCAATATTCCATTTTACAAATAAAGGTGGCAGGAGTCATATGCTTTACAGGGGATTAAAACTGCAATTCATTCTTCTTTGTTACAATTACAGGTTCCATTCAGTACAGGGGATACAACTACTTCTATGGCATCTTACAAATAATACAAAGAGTATTCAACAACTAATCTAATAATATATTTGGATTTCAGTACCTACTTAGATATTTCTCCAACAACCTGTTAGATCATTATTATTATTATAGATACCAAAATTATAAAAAAATAGATTCAAAACACAATCATAAAGTCAGATTGCAACTTTTAACAAATTCTGTCCAATTTCAAACTTCAATACACACAGATAAATGCTGCGGCAAATGACCCTCTATGCAAAACTAATCAATCTCATTGACCCTTCAACACAAAAATATATAAGAAAATAAATCTAAGAAACAAATTTTGGAGTAAAATCGATCTTTCATGTTGATATTGTATATCATTATTTATTATAAAATAATTTCACCTGGTAGTGAGATGAACTTTCCTAATTAAAAAAAGAACAACATAAACAGCTACAGAGGTTTACAGAAATTTTGTCGGTGGCTTATCAAATGGAAAAAAAGAGGAACAATTTTTCATTCTACAGCTGTGACAGTAATCTATCTCCATGAGAACATAATACAATTTTTAAGGGTTGAAAAAGTGGTCACCACAACTACATTTCCAACTCATTGGCTTGTAATTGGAATAGCTGTTACCTTGGAGAAGGAAACCTTGCATTGCAGAACTCGGAGAAATACCTGCTGGGTGGACTCGGTTGTGAGTAGGTAAGGATGGAACTTGCACTGCCATGCATGGATGACACTGGTTGCACTTGTTGTGGCAAGAAGGAGGCATTGAGCCTAATCTGTTTTTCTCCTCATACGAAGGGTCCTGCATAAAACAAAAACCCAACTGAGTATTTTTAAACAACAACAAACACAAAATTTATGACTTCTATTAAAGCCTACCTTTGGAGGAATTGCATGATGTGGGAGCATGAAACAAGAAACTGGACACAGCAGATGGTGCAGTAGAAATGTAATAATAATTGCAACAGGCAAGATGGTGATTGTGGAGTTCTGAATTGGATTGAATGAAGCCATTATCATGAATGCCTATCATGTCATTTCTTGATGTCATTCCCAATCTATACCCAAACACTTATAATAAATTGAAATGTTAACTGAGCTGTGAGAGATGGTGATAATACTCTACAAGTTGGAGAGGGAAAAAATAAAATGGTTTTGGAACTTATTTTTAGGTTTGTGAGTGATGAATGCTTTTTATTCCTGTGGCCTATGGAGAGAAGAAAGAGGATGTGCATCGATCAGAGGGTGCGCGTTGTGTTGGCAGAGTAGAGAGAGAGACAGCAGACAATGGACAGCGAGAGAGGGAGCAGACTGTGACAGAAAAAGTGAAAGGAACAGTTCAATAGAGATAAACAAAATGGGAGAATCCAAATCAGTATCAAGGACCCATTGCCCAGTGATCTATTAGTAGTTGTGACTGATTCTAAGTGGCAGGGTGGAAAGAGAAATTTTTCTTGTGTGTATAAGTGGGTAAAATTTAAAAACACACATTGGCAGGTGGTAGTTAAAATTGTCATTTATTAAGCTATCTAATTTTTGTAACAGTTCTTGGAGTGTCACGGTATTGAGCATTGAGTATCTTTGACTTGATTAACGTTTTACAATTGCGAGTTTTCAATCAGATTATGGCTACTCATGCAAGTAAAGGGGTGCTCTATGCTATGGAAACAAGAAAGTATCATTAACACTGAGAAGAAAATGAATCTATTTGACCTAAAAGACAAAAAGAACTCAACTCTGTACTGAACAAAGTTGTGTGAAAGAAGAAATTTATAACGTCTAATTAAGAAGTTACAATGATTTAGTGGTTTGGCATAATGATTTAGTTGTTTGACACCATAAATGGTACCAGTACATATTGAGGTTACCATGTTTAATACTTTATGATAGGTGAATAACGGTGTGGAACTTCATGAAATTTTGGATCATAATAAAGAATAATCAAGTTCAGCTTCTCTACAATCCAAACATGTGCTAAAAATGCAAAATGTAATTTAATACAATAAATAGAAAAGTTGGTTATGAATTTTTATATTATCTATCAGCATGAATTTTAAAAAATCATTACTTTGTTTATATAGTGATTAGTGACCTTAACCCTGTTTTCAAGAGTTAATTGAATAGTTACAACTGGGTAGATTTATTGTTCAAATTTGTACAGTCATATATCCCACAAGTCAGTGGTGACACTTTTAGGGTGTTATTAGACAACAGCATTGAAATTCTTTATCTGTTAATAAAAGAAAAAAATGTCCACTTTTTCCTTTTATTTTTTTTTATAGATCATTTAATCCCATGTGTTCTGGCACATTTTGAGTGAAAAAATATAACATCAAATTTATTATACTAACCCTTAATTTTACACTAAGTATAAGTTAATTGTCATTATTATAAAATTTATAACATTTATATCTATGAAAATAAAAAATATATTTTTTAAAAATAAAAAACTAAAGTGATTAATGCTTATAATTTGAAAAATGTTTAGAGTTTACTCAAATGTAAAAGAATAGATAGACAGTTTATTTCACACAAATTAAAACAAAAATAAAGTTAAAGAGTACATGAGTATTTTGTTTTATCAGTTTTCTTTTTCAGGTTTGAAGATTCTTCACAGCTTGCAATTTGCCAAATCTGTCACCGAGAAACAGATAGGGAAAACGACAGCGAAGAATTAGACGTTGTAGATATCATTTTACATTGAGAAGATTAAAAAATATTTATTTACTAAAACAGTAAACTATTTTCGCTTTATTTTTCTGAATAGGATTTTTCTTAGTTTTTATAACCACTACAAAGAAAGTACAATAATATATTGTTTTCTATATTTTTTCTGAGATTTCCAATTTGGAATTCAATTAATTTCTCAGACAAAAATGTGATGCAAAAGACAAGGACAGTGAATTGTCTCTCTAATGTGCACATGTACCTTCCTAAAAAAAAGTACAATAATATATTATTGTTTTCTATAATATTTCTGAGATTTCCAATTTGGAATTCAATTAATCTCTCAGACAAAAATGTAATGCAAAAAACAAGGACAGTGAATTGTCTCTCTAATATGTACATGTACCTTCCTCAAATTTGAGGAACCATGTTAGTTTTGTATTTTTATAGTATAAAAGTTATGCCATTTAGGAAATGTAATAAATAAAAATAAAGTATAAAGAAAGTAACAATAATTATAACTATTTAATTAATATATACCAACAAAAAAATCATTGGCATAAATGCATGAATGGATTTGTTTTTCTAAAAATTGGGTACTGACTTTTAGGCTGTGTTCGCATGAACCGAATTTACTGTTCATGCGAATTTGCGAGCGAAGAATTCAGCTCGTTATGCGTTCGGTTGGAGTGAAATGCGCGAACGGATTTGCGATGAAACGCGGGATGGTTGCACTGTTCAGTCACCCGCGGTTGTGAAGAGATTTGCGCGGATTGTGAGCGAAATGTCGCGTGTGCCCTCGGTTAAGAAACGCTGGAAACGCGTAACCAGTTACATGTTCGCGTAACCGGTTACGCGTTCGCGTAACTGGTTACACGTTCGCGTAACCGGTTACGCGTTCGCGTAACCGGTTACGCGTTCGCGTAACCGGTTACGCGTTCGCGTAACCGGTTACGCGTTCGCGTAACCGGTTACGCGTTCGCGTAACAGGTTACGCGTTCGCGTAACCGGTTATGCGATTTCCTTTTTTTTTTCAAGTTTTTTTTATAATTATTTTAATATTAATAAAATTAGATATATTATATTTTTTAATTTATTTTTAATAAATTGATTATTATATTTTCTAATTTTTTTTAATAAATTGATTATTATATTTTCTAATTTATTAAAAAAAATTGATTATTTAGTTTTTTTAATTTTTAAACATTAATTTTATAAATTATTCATAATTTTTTTTCTTTATAAACATTTTTACAATTAAATATAACATTTATAAATAACATTTTATAACTAGGGACATTTTGGTAATCTTTAATTTATATCAATTAAACTAATTTTTAAAATCTATCACATCAATCAAATCCTACACTAATTCTCACAAACTTTACTTCCAAATCCACTCTCAATTACCCACAAATCCACTCAAAAAAACAACAAAAAAATTACCCTCAAATCCACTCAAATCCATTCAAATCATCTCCCCCAAATCATCTCCCCCAAATCATCTCCCCCAAATCACTCCAAACGAACACAGCCTTAATAAAATTCAAATGTAAGTGGTATGTGCAATCATTGGAATTTAATTTTATAAATATTTATATATATGATTTTAGATTGAGAAATCAATCATGAGTCTGAATTAATTTAGACTTAAAACTATTTTAATTTTTTTTCATGAATTAAAAACTTTATAATAAGTTTTATCGTTAATTTATATAAATTAGTATTATTATTTTTTTATAAATTAATGTTATTCTAAAATATTATGTTACTTCAGAATCAATTTTACACAGTCCATTTAATAGAATCAATTTCATTTAATATCATGTACTAGGTGGAAACATTATTTGATAAAAGATCTGATAGCATACATTTTAATTTTTTTTTTGTTATAACTTTAAATAATCTCTCCAGTCACTGAGTAACTTGATTAAATTATATGCATGGTCATGGTCATAAAGTGATAAGAAGTTCTTATAAACTTTGAAGAACTAAACTATAAGAAAAATTAAGTTCGCATTAAATCATCATCTATAAAAAATGAAACCTACTTCAATCTTTTTTCAAGTTAACCACATATTTTATACAATCCATCATGTAACGTTTTTTTTATATGTCATGTCATGCAGTCTTATTTTACACTTCTTCGTATCTTTCTTTAACCAAAAAAAAAATACAATTTTATTGAACAATACATTTTCTCTTTCCATTTGATTAAATCCAAAAGAATCCTTATATAGTTCACATTATCGATAAATGATAAAATCAGAATGGTTACACATGTATTTGGTTAGTCTTATTAGAACAATCATTGTTATGCCAAAGTTACATTTTTTTTAAATACATTTTATCTTGAAAGAAAACTCTAGGTCAAACTTGCATTAATATTAGCTACAATGTTGTTGAACTAATTCTTCATATAAAAGCATTTATGATCAGTAAAATTACTTTTGATTTCTTTCCCCTTTATACATCAGAAGACAGAAGCATCTACCTTAAAAACCAGGAGAATAAAAAAAAAACAATATTTACTTTCCTTATGCGTCACCTTGAAATACCACTATCAATAACTCCAGCTAGAGAAAACACAGTTTGAAAAATAAACAGATAATCACCAACATAACTTTTTTAAGTTTATCTTTTTGCAAGTCCCATATTGCATGTGTCTCTTTTCTCTTTTAATTTCAACATATCAACTTGAACTCATCACTTGTGCTGGATCCTGGTTTCATTGGAAAGACAAGAACGTGAAAGCATTATATTTGAAGGATTACCTGATGGACACAGTTCAAGTTCATACTCATGAAATATCTGACTTCAACTTTAATCTATACAATTCTTCATCCTGAATCAAGGTTGGAAAAGTCCAAGTGCCAAGCGGATGCTCTGATACCTTTCCACCTAAAAGAATTCAATTGCCAGTGAATAATGGGCGGGCATGGTTTTGTTATCTTATACCTATACTGCTAGAATGACTGACTCCAGCAAATTACCTTCTTTCGTGGCTTCTGCACATCTTTTCTGGTAGTTCAAAGAGAGATGTGGATCAAGTGATTTCAATAAACATTCATACTTGTCTTCAGCCTCACTAATGTGTTTTGCCTGGAATAGAATTTGACGTTATATCTCAAAGGTATTAAGTATATGTTACATAGCTACTATGATTATGCCAATTTTAATTATCAGGCAGGAATAAAACAAACTCATTAATATAGGCAAATAACCAATACAGACCCTGTAAAAAAATATGACAGAATTATCAAAATTAGATTGATAGAGCTTTTCTTCTCTCAATATACGTGAGAAATGACAATGCTCTCTAAGGCTCTAACAAGAATATTATATTATTTCACTACACAATCAGCAAATGCTTTCTTGACAAGGTTTGACTCCAAACTCTAATTGCACCTCCTCTCCCTGTAAAAGTGGGTGGTAGAGTGGTCATAAATTCATTACTCCCTCATTCATGTTTGCCACTTGAGGTTACGCATGACAACAAGAAATAACATGTCACATTAGTTTAGGTATTTAGTTCAACAATCCTGAAAGAAAACAAAACATAAGAATGCGAAATGCTTGACCACACTGTATCTATTTGACTGTAGATCAGCAAATTTTAAGAGAAATGCGAGTACATAAACGACACTCTATTTTCAGCACAGGTCTAAGGCTAGTCCTGCTAAATAACAAGGGCCTAGTAGTGATGGTGTGTGTGTTTAAAAAAGTGTCAGAGTGTTTTGCTCAAGTATTTCTGATTTTAATAATAGGTGGATATTAATCTTGCTGCTGCATACATTATGAAGATGGTTCAGTCAACCAATAAACTTCAACAGATCATATGGACTTCCATTAGCAATTATATAAATTAACAGCACTATTTGTAAATAGTTTGAAATTCTCACCAGCATAG